TGGGTGATTGGAGGAGCAGAGGGGCAGGGCCAGAGTGGGTTTGCATGTTCTGTTTCTGCAGAAAGTGAGGCAGCACCCAGTACCCCTCTAGCCCAGAACACCTAGTATGGGGGCCAGGGGAGGGGAGGGTGTACAGATCCAGGCTTGTGGGGCCCCACCTCAGCCCCACAAGCCTGGATCAGATCCCTTAGGAGACAGGGGCTGCAGGGGGACCCCACCAGGGAAGGGCCCCTGCAGGAGCTCCATGGCAGGGGCTGGGGGACAAAGGCTCCTCTTCTGTTATACCCAAGCACAAACACATTCTTGCAGGGCAGCCTGACCCAAGCCCATGCCACACAGAGTGTAGGGTGCTTCTGGAGGCCGCCCCACCCCTGGCTTAGCTTCTGTGGTGGGGGCAGTGGGCCATGGTTCCCTGAAGGCTAAGGTGAGGTGGGGCATAGGGCCAGGTCAGAAGCATGTTCGACCTACAACTTCTTCAGCAAGGAAACTCATAGTTGGTCAGGGAGTAAGCAAATTATAGGCCACATTGAACATGCTCTGGGGAACATGAGCATGAGCAGAAGCTATGATTTCTCATCAAACAAACAGAAGGAGGCATCATAATCTCAAGACCCACTGCCAGGAGGGGCTGGGACTGGCTCCCTAGGCTGCTGACTCTGTTGGGGAGTGCCTGTCTTTGGGGGTTTGCACTCTTAGAGTCTAGCCTCGTAGCCCAGCCCCTTGGTCTAGCCTTTGCTCCGCAGTGGTTTTGTTTGTCCTCCTACATGCTGGACTGGGTAAAGCTGAAGCCTCTGCAAAGTGGTGTCTTAGTTGTCCCCAGGAGGCACACCAGGGTCAGGCTGAACCTCTCGAGAACCAGAAGGAGGCCAAGGTGCTGTGAACTGTGTTATGGTCCTGTGAAGAGAACATCAGGTAGGAGCCAAGGGCAGCCAAGGGCACTGCTCCACTCTGAATGTGCCACTGGGGAAGTTAGGAGAAAGGAAGACCCTGAGAACACCAGCAGGGCTCCCCTCATTTCTGGGCCCCACATTATTTGGAGACCTCCTTGGATGCAAGTTTAATCTTAGGGTGGAAAGGACTCAGGACTCTTGCAACACAGACATCGGATCATGCCAGTCCTTGACCAAAAATCTGTGGTTCCCCACTGCCCACAGGACAATTGCTGAGACTATGCTAGCATTCAAGCCCCTGTATGTTCTGGCCCCAAGCTGTCCCTACACACCTCTCTCACTTATCCCTGTCTCGGAAGCCCCAGCCAGAATGGCTCCTTTCTCTGGTCCCCAAGAACAGTTGTTAGTGGACACCTGACTTTCATGGCGGCTGGGGACCATGTCTTTGCTCTATGCTCTGGTACAGGACTTGTGACTCTCTGGCACTTAGTCAGTGGATCAACCCAAAAGAAGATTCCCCATATACACCATCTGGAAAGGCAGCACACGACTGGGCGACTCGTAAGTGCTTCTGACAGCAACATAACTTGCTGCCGAATCTGAGTGGCTTCTTCCCACTTGGCTCCAGGCTAGAGAGTACATTTACTTTCTGATCAAATATTATGCTGATGCTCAAGGCATCCTTGATGTTTGCAAGTCAGAAAAGTTTAATTACATGTGTCATTAGAATGGCATTCTGTAATAGCTCTGTGACTGAATTCATTAACAGAATTCTTAACAGATAAGACAAGACAAATTAATATTTTGTTGCCCATGAAAGCTTCTCATTAAGAGAGTAGTGAAAAAGTGATTAATATTTTGTTGCCAATCAAGATGTCTCATACAAGTGACAAAGAAAGGAGGCCCACACCTCTTCGTGCTCTGTAATCTCCCCACCTTGGGTTTTGAAGGCTGATCAGCTTTTCCTGTTAGCACCATGCTTGGGTGCCAGTCATTGATTACAATGCCAGGGAGAGGATTTCATCTCTCACTGTCGGGCAGAAGGGGGAGAGGGAGGAGGGAGGGAGAGAAGGGTACTGAGATGCTACAGCCTGAGGGACTCTGGGAACCCCATCAACCATGAAATCTTTGCTCCATTAGTCTTGCCCTCTTGGGCTGTTCTCCCCTACCAATTCTTGCCTCAGAAATGCCCCATGAATCCTGATGACCTGGCCCTAGACCTCTTCAGCCTGATTTTCATCTAGGGCCGCTCTCCTCGCCGTCCCCAGAGTGGGGCTGTCACTTATGAATACCTACTGTGTGCCAGACACTGGGCTGGGTGCTTGACAACATGTCCAGCCTGAGAACACCCAGACAAGGAGAACATCATGATCTCTACTTCTCCATAGGCTCAGAGAAGCTTGACAGCTTTCCTAAGGCTACTTTGGATTTGCTGGGGGTGGGTGGGCAGTGTCTCTCTCTCCCTGGATAAGTCAAGGCTGAAAGGATGGTGACACCCTTATCCCTGACTACAAGCAGCAAGGGTATACTGGGGTCACATCTGCCTGACTGGGGAGCCTCACTGGCTGCTTGTTGGGGATTCGGGATGCAAGGTGTTGGGAGTGCTGTTTAGCAACAGCAGTAGTAATGATATTAATGATAGTAATAATAATAACAATGAGAGGGATAATAGCATTTATGGAATTCTATATGCTAAGAACTTTACATGCATCTCCTCATTTAATCCTTCCTACAGCCCTACGAGGCAGGAACTATTATTAAATAAACCTTAAAGCAGTCAAGGTTATGCAATTAGTAACTTTCCAAGGTTACTCAGGGAGTAAGTGACAGACTCCAGAGCCCATGCTCTTCACTAGCCAGGGAGACATGGGTGTGTTTCATGTGTGCTCGCATACATTAGGCAAGGGTCCCTGCAGGGCTGGCGCTGGCCTGCATCCTCTCATGGGGGTTTCTGAAAAGCCCAGGGCCCTGCCTATTTGCGGGCTACTGATACAACCATGAGCAGCAAGTGTTTCCTGGGAAGTAATGAGGGGCCATTAATCTTTGGTTGCACCCACAATTACCTAAATTGCTAACCTTATTGCGAAAAGTAGAACTGCAATTGAGTTGGTGCTGGAGGCATGTTTGAGGGAGGGAAAAAAGTACTCAAAGTAATTTAATTAACTGATGGCAAGTACATTAAGAAGAGTTTTGCCTCCCCTTTTATTTCTGATGTCTTTAAACGGAGCGCCAAGTAGAGTTCATGAATGCTCTGACGAACACAGGCAGACATGTCTAGTACCGAATCAGTCACTATGGGGCAAAAATGTTTAAAAGCTCAGATCACACCCTAAGAGCTTTTGTACACATGAACCCATGCACCCCAACACCCACACACACACCATTGTCTTTACAAATATTTACTGTCCTTGCTAAGTCCTCAGACAAGTCCTGGCCATTTTAGACCCAGAAAACAAAGGACTCTGCCCACCCAGCATCTGTCCAGCAAGAACCCATCAGAGCTTCTCTGCACTGACGTTCAGAGATGTACCAGGATACTGGCTATGTTCACCAGAGTAGGGAAATCACAAGGAAATGATCCTGTCCAGTGTGACAAGGATGGGAAAAGAGCACTCAACGGACAGCTTTGCCCAGGGTGGTACCTCCAGAGTGGCCCCCTCTTTCTATCTGCTTCCCCCATGCTTTTGAGGGTGCAGCAAAGGACTAGTAGAGAGTATCAGAGTCTCAACTTTCGTGGTTTCTACAGCACTTCCTGGTGGATCTCTGTCCCACAAAGGAGTTTGAAAGGACCTTCAAGGTCATGGAATTTAACTGCCCTTTTGTGGCTAGTGCCTGCTTGACCTTGCATGCCCTGGGGATGAGGAACTCACTGCCTCCTGTGACGGCTCACTCCATTGCTAGGCAGGTTTGAAGACTGAGATGGTGTTCCACCCAAGGGGTTCCTTTAAGGGTACACCATTGCCCTTTGGGCCACTCCAACTCATAGGGTCACATGGCCCAAGTCAGCTTTCTCTGCCCCAGCCCCTACCCTGCCACCTTTGAGATGTTAGCAGAACTGACCCCTCATCCCATGGGTCTTTCTTCTCTTGGCAAGCATCCTACTGCGGACCAACTGTCCTGTCCTGAGCCAAGGAGAGGGCTGCCCTCTCTTCTGCCTGAAAATTATAATCCTGTTACTGTAACCCAAGACCTGTCAGCTGTCCTGGCAGTCACTACATGGGTGACATCACTCTGTCTTCTCACATGAACTTCTGGGAAGCCACATTACCTCTTGTGCCAAACCTGGACCAATAAATACACATGAATTATTCCACTTCTGAAGTCCAATAGAAAGGAAGTACTGCTAATGCTGCTTTTCTTATAGATTGATTCATTGAGGACCAGCAGGTTAAGAAGTTACTCAGCATCATAAAACTGGTATGGGTGATGCTAAGACCTCAACCCAGGCTGCTGGTTCCCCATAGTACAGAAGTACCCATCTAGTCATGTTGGGCTATATGAGCTAGCTCAGCTGCTCTCCTCATCAATGTAGATCGCTTAAGTAAATCATCATGCCCTCATCCTCTCACCCAGCAGAAGTCCCCAAGGCAGGCCCCCTCTGGCCTGACTGGGTTTCCCTCCCTTCTCACCTGGCACCTGCCCTCAAGCTGATCTGACCCAATGGCTTACCGCTGCCCTCCACAGGGCCTCTACCCCATGTCCAGCTGTCTACATCCTACCCAGAGCCTCCTCCCCAGATCCCTCAGTCAGTTGCTCTGGAGCTTTCTGCCTGACTGTGCTCCCGCTGTGGTCTGTCTGTGGTCCAGCCCTCTGTGCTGTGTGAGGGAGCCCGCACAGCCCACTTCTCCCCACAGCCAATTCTCACGGCCACCTCTAGGCCTGCTCTGCCCCCTCCACCTATCCTAGGCTTATGGCCACCATTCATCCTATTCTCTGCCATGGTGAGACTTGGATTTTCTGGAATGGCCAGGCTGACTACAGGCTGGAAAGGTACTAAACATGGGATGTCAAACTAAACCCCTTGGGTCCTGCCACTGCCTGTGGCGTTTTGCACAGTTAACTTTCCTAGGGAAGTGCACTTGAGCTCAGAGTGAGTTCCAGGTGACTTACGTTGATGTCTTCCAAGTCCAGGAAGTTCAGGATGAGCCCGTTGCGCTTCCAGACGATTGGTGGCCTCAAGTCTCCACGGACAGCACAGGTCAGCACTGTGCTCAGCCCCACGGTCACAGTGGTCACACTGACCCTGTCCTCAGGGGCGAGGTTAAGCTGGACCACCTCTGCAGAGGGAAAGGAGGAGGTGATCAGGTGCAGGTCTGGGTAGAGCCTTAACTCAAGACAAACAGCCATGGATTGACTCAAGGGCAGGGACCCAGGAGTGCTTCCTGGCTCCCAGAAAATTGTTTACAATGTGCTAACTAAATGTAGTGATAGAAATTTGCTGAGAGGCTGTGCCATGACTTTTGTCAAATGCTCTAAAGCTTCTGTGAATCGCAGTAGGTCAGGAACCACAGAAAATGCCCAGGGGACCATCTGGGCCATGGATTTGTGAGTCGAGCTGAGATTGTGGGCTGCCAGGGCCATGTAGGCCACCACACGTACAGACCAGGGCCATGTAGGCCACCACACATAGAGACCACATAGAGACCAGGGAGGCAGGGGTGCAGTACCTTGGCTAACTGAGGTCTGGGCCTTGCTAAGTGCAGTCAAGCTCTGTTGGGTGAGCCAACAGGTTTCTCATCTGTCTGGGGGCCATTTAAAGGTTGCACTGTCTAAAGTCTGGGGAGTGGATGGCTGACCTTTGAAGGTTTGTTTCTGTCTGAGGATTTGCTGAACTTGAATTTGGATTTCTGTTCTGCGACCATGCACTGTAGCTTTTAATTTTTTGAAGAGTACTTCAGGCTATAGAAATTATGAGTCCTTGCCATTTTATACTTGATAACTGGCATTAAGACTGATCATTCTTCAAGCAAATGTGAAGGGGCTAAAATATTTCCCTGAAATCACAAGCTTTTTGAAATTCTAAGGATTTATGGAAAAATTAATCAAATTGCTGCTCAAATGCTCACATGAGATCAGGCTTGAGGGGACAGTCACCTGCTCATTGATGGGAAAGGATCTCCCTTGCTCTTCCCCCAAATCTGCCCACTCAGAGGGCTTAAGCTGAGGAAGGCAGACTGGTTCTGGGGGGTGGGGGGTGGGGTGTTTCTTCTGTCTATTCTGAGCTGCCAGAAAAAATGCTGCAAGCCTTGTTTGGTCCTACTGGAACCTGGGTGCGGGGGGACCCTGACAGGTGTGTCCCCCCAAAACACTGGAACAGAGCACAGAATTGGGGGCTGAGCTTGGTGACTCAGCAGGTCACTTATGAGCTGTGACCAGGCAGTAGTACCACTGCCAGCGGCACATCTGCACTCACACACTCTTGCCAGTGTGTGTGGGAGAGGGCAAGAAGGGGAGAGACAGTTGCAGGTGCAGTGCACTGCTGAGCACCTGAATCGCAAGCAGGCGGAGGTCAGATCCCAAGCAGCAACAAAGCACCCCCCACCACCGCCACACACACAGACATTTGGTGGCCCGGCCCTGGGCTCTAGAAGATAAACAAGTGATCCCCACTAGGTGCTCCATCAGTGTTGGATGGATGGACGAAAAACCAAGAAAATGAAATAAAGAAGTAAGAGCCAACAGGCCGGTGGGGAGGGGGCACCCACATACAGGAAAAAATGTGACTCACGGCAAAGGAGCCTGCGAGGGAAGATAAGCACGGAGTGATTGATGCAGACGCAACCAGCATCATATTTTACAAACATTAAAGTGATGCATTCCAAGTGCCCTCTTAAATCACGTTCCGTCTGCTGCCCTCCCACCTCTGAGTCATGAGGCTTATTGCTCAGGGCAAGGGAAAGAAGGCACTAACTCTCTGTTGCAAGACTCAGACTTTGGAGAGTGGGGAGAGAATGAGAATTTGCTAAAAAGGTTTAGCTCCCATGTGTTCTGTGGTCCCTTAGGACTTGAACCCCAGCGTTCTCCCTGAGAGTGGAGGAGGCACCCCATCTTCAGTGGAGCACCAGGAGACCATCAGTGTGTGGGTGAGGAGAACTAAGATGGTGCTCTAGAAGGATACTGCTCCCCTTACCTAGGGCAGCCATGTGTGTCTGAGCAGAGAGCCAAAGCCTCCTTGGCTTTGGACTCCTCTGTACCCGAGGACTGCCTGAAAGGCCTGAAAGGACGTGTCCTAGGCCTCCAGGGGTATGGAATGCCAGTGGGGGCTGGGGGAGGCCTGCTTGGGGGAGACTTCTGACCCTTGAGTCCACCAGGCTGTGAGTCCGGACCATAGGCACATCCAGGGCTGAGTTCAGCTTTGTGTGCCCTCGCACAAAGGCAACCAAGAGGCCCTCTCTTGGGATCCAGAGGCAGCAGGGCTCCTCCACATTGCTTCCCCGCACACTCAGAAGCCAGCTTGGAGAGCAGCTGGGGATGTGGGGTGAAAGCAGGAGACACGAAGTACTTCTTAGGCAGAGCGTTAGTTATGTGGACTGTTAAAACTGTCAGCTTGGACTAAGCACCACAATGGATGGATTCTCCCAATGGGTGGGGCTTATGAAGAAGTCAGGTTAGTCACACAAGGAACCTACATTTTCTCTGGTAAGACTAGGAGAAAAAGCCCAGCTGGCTCTGGGACAGACTCTTGGAGGAGGCAGGGCTTCCCCTGGCCCTAGAGCTCTGCTTCCCAGATGGGGTTCTACCTGCATCCTATTCCCCAGGTGGGTGATTACAATACAGATTTCCTAACTGCCTCAGGTGGGTGGGGTGGACATGCAGATTTTAACAAGTATCCTGGGGGTGGGGGATTCCGTGGCACCCTGAGGCCTGAGAAGCACTGCCTTACAAGGGTTCTGGGTAGATAGAAAGGGGGAGTGAAGGTGGGAGACAAGGAGATTAGGCAGTCTGGTAGGTATTTAGGGTCTCCTGGGGCCCTACATACCAGGCTAAGAGCATGGCCCCTCATTTGAAATATAGGACCTATGTGGAGTGTAGGATTCCCCTTTTCGATGTGACCACAGAATCATATTAAAAATAGTTTTAGAAAAAAATCTAGAGGAGAATATAACATGCAGCTAAAACAAGCAGTTGGGCACAGTGGCTCATGTTTGTTAATCCCAGCACTTTGGGAGGCCAAGGCAGGAGGATCACTCGAGCCCAGGAGTTCAAGATCAGCCTGGGCAATATAGTGAGATCTCATCTCTACAAAAACAAAAAACAAAAAACAAAAAACAAAAAACTAGGTGTGGTGGCATGCTCCTGTAGTCCCAGCTACTCACAAGGCTGAGGTGAAAGAATCACCTGAGCCCAGGAAGTTGAGGCTGCAGTGAACTGTGATCATGCCACTGAACTCCAACCTGGGAGACAGAGTGAGACTCTGACTCAAAAAGGAAGCAAACAAACAAAAAACCCCCAAACAAGCCAACAAGCAAAACAGACTCAAGTGGGAGATGGGAGCACGCTGTGTCCCTCAGTCCCCTGCCGACTGGTTGCACATCCTCCCTGAGCGCAGCCCCAGTCATTTGTATGTCGAAGACGTGCACTTTGAGCAGGAAAAACTCATGCAAAATTAGAATGCGTGAGTACTGACAGAACCATCGTAATTCTGCTCCTGTCAGCTACACAAATATTAACCAAACAGCAAATATTTGGATCACTTAAAGTTTAATTAAATGAATGTTTTATTGGATTTAATTTGTGTCAATATTCCCCAGCTCCTTTTAAAATTCTAGAGATTTATGGCTACTGAGCCCACTTCTTCCACTCTCAATCCCAGTTATTTACTGGTCAACAAGCCTTCCCTCCGCAGGCCCTACTTTCTTGCTAAGTGGCAAGGCTAGGACCAGGTGACCTTCCAGGGTGACTTCTAGGGTGAGTAAAAAACGAGACAGCATCATGGGCCAGGGTTCACGTGAGCAGCGCAGGACACTTGGCCTCCAGGTCTGGCTCTGCTGCTGACAAGGTGAGTGGCCTTGGGCAGCTCTTTCCTGTCCCTAGGCCTTAGTTTGGACATCGATAAAATGGGGGAGCACGGTTTTGGGGCCCATCTGGCTTTTAGGGACTCTGAGCCGATTATTTGGAGTGGACTTCCCTGCAGACCCCTCTCAGTCCTGCAGGACTGCCTGCTGTGACTTCTCTTGCCCCAAGGATCATCTGCCCCTGTCCTTTGCCACTTGCCCATGATAGTAAAAGTGACTCCTCAAGGCAGCACCAATGGCTGCCAAGTCCCTCAGAGGCTTCCCTCCTGACTCCCCTGAATACTTTCCTTCTTCTCCATCCTGGGTCCTCAGCAGCTTCCTGTGTGGTCATCCCTCCAGTTTGCCCCTGCCACTTGTAGTCTCTTGGTGCCACTTACAGAACAAGGTATGTCCCAGCTCTGCTCAAAAGCCATCAGTGGCTCCCTATTACCCACAGGTCACATGAAGAATTCCAAAACAGTCCCTGATCTTGCCCTTACTCTGTTTCCAACATTATTTGTCACTGTGTCAGCTGGTTCCCCATTCCATGTGTGTTTTCAGACCCCAGCATGTGCCTGCTTGGTACCTGCCGCTTGTCCATTCTGAGCTCCTCATGCTCTTGGCCTCTACCTCTGAAATGAGGGATGTTTCTGGGACTCTGAAGTTTTAACATAAGAAAACACTTGGATGGGTATTATGTGAAGAAGATTGAAAGAGATTGTCCTGGTGAATTTGTCAGGACTTTTTCAAGCTTCTGTAACAGAAATTCTCAGAAATGCTCAACTAGCTTAGGGAAAAACGAGAATGATTTAATTCCCAAAGTGGGAAATCTATAAGGGAGGCAGAGGAGTCTGCAGGCACAGGGTCCTAAGCAGTGGCGTTCGCTACTTGGTTGCAAGATGTCCAGTGTCCTATTGTCCCTGTATGTGGGATCCCAGAGAAAGGGACCAGATCTTTCATGAGAGCCCTGGAAAAAAGCACGGGGGAACTCGACTGACAGAAACTGTTTCTGTGTTCTTCCCTGAAGCAATCACTGAGGCTGAGTGAATTGAACATAGTGCAGTTCCAGTACTGACTGACTCAACAGGCCTGGACCATGTGGCCACCCACGCCTGGGCCTTGGTGGTTGGGGTGGGGTCAAGTGTCCAAGAGAAAGGATCTGTTGGGCAGATCAACACCCTATGACCACCACGGGGATGTGGAGAGGTCCTCTTCTCTCTGACCCCATCACAGCCCCACTGGGAAACCTGGGCATTGTATGTCATCCAGGAAAATAGCTGGAA